TAATAATAGGTTATAGATAGCAGACGCAGTACAGTATACCGAAAGTGATGCGTTCAATTTTCACGGCACTCTGGTTCTGTGTGACAATAATTCGTTGTTATGACGAGTGTTTCTTCACATAATATTTGGATTGTTTCTGTTCGCGTGGAAACTTACGCGTGTGAATTTTTTGTTTTTTCGCGTCGAGACTTACGTACGAGTGAATTTCCGTTCGTGTCGGAACTCATCGGACCCTTTACACAGGCAAATGGAGATGTTGCTGCGCTTCATACACATCCGACCTCCCCCCCAACCTCCCCGACCCCTCGGTGCGCCGCCGGATGTACCCGCGTGTTATATGTATACGTTACCGAACAGTATTACGAATGCCACGACACTTCGCGCCGCAGTACGCCCGATTTCATAAACGGTAAATGGCGCATCAAGAATAGTCGATTATTGTGAACCGATGTTTGACAACCGTTGATAATTACACCGTCCGCTGTCGAATTGAACAGTCGGTGGGCGCTTTTTGCGCGCGATAACAGACTGTTTGATCGTTTCGGCGTTGACGAAATAAAACATTCGGTCTCAGTCCGGGGCCAGGGCCAATGTAATGGATATTCGCCGGCAGGCCGGGATCGGTTTGGCGGTGACGTTTGGCGTTTTTTCGCTCGTCGCCCACGCGTTAACACTCGGTTCTCTCTCCCTGTGTAGTTTGAAAAATCGATTTCAAAAAAAAAAAAAATGAATTTCGTCGCCCCTCCCTCCGCCCTCGCCAATAAACGTCACGCCGGACGTCACGCAGCCTTTTCGGCCTGTTGGTCAACCGGGCCCCGGGTCTCGTTGCGATCCGCATCGGCACGCACGACGACCGTTACAACACGTCGCGTGTGACGGATGTCGCCCGGCTCGTCGAAACCAAACGGGGCGAAACGTTTTAGTTCGTATTGAGTGTGCGCGGCTCGACACGAATGGTTTTGTAATCGCGACGGTCAGGCGGGCCCGCCGATCGCACGACGGTGGGATCGCGCGCGTCCGCGTGTGCGTACGAACGTGTCGAGCCCGCTACGCTTGTAACGCCGCCGTCAACACTCGGGTTCGTGGAACAACGGCGGTGTGACGCGCGTGCGATTATCACTTGTCTTCGTCTCGGCAGTTCAAAACGTTGCGCCGCGCGACACGGCTGCCGACGTTACGGTATACGATGTCTGGCTATTAAACAGCGAGACTGCTTATGAAAAATGGTTTTATTTTAAAAACCGTTCCACAACCAAACGTTCCCCTTCAATATACTCCCCCCCTGCCCTAGCCACACGCCGTTTCGTTCGTATAGGTTTGTATCTTGTCCGTGCGTTGTCGCGTCATGACATAAACCGAGCCGGGACGAGACGCTCGGAAATTATAGCGGCGGGCGATACGCGAAATGACTGCGTAGGCACGTTTATTCCCAACTCTTTTTTTTTTTTTAGATACGAGACACGCAACAATGGATACGATTAAACGTAAAACCGTAGATTTGACACGATGCCGTTACGTTCGCGTTGTGATTTTTCGAACGAATAACGGAAATGAAATAATATTGTTAACAAGATTTTTTTCGCAGACAACTCCGTACGGCTGATCAAAAACCTATTCGAATACTAATGTTACAGTAAAAATATTTATGACTGATTCGTTGTTGTATTTTTTTTTTTTTTTCACAAAAAAATTATCGACAGTTTTCTCAAGTCGTGACGAGTAAAAATGAAAAAAAAAAAAAAAACAAAAATATACGCTCGCGGCGCTTTTTGTCCTATATTACAAAATACCATAAACTCGGGCACTGCGCATCATACGGCTATAAGCCACGGACGACGAAATTTCGATTTTTCACTTTTGGAAAAGGTGGGGTAGTATTTTTTCGACACAGACAACACGCGCGGATTAAAAAATTAAAAACGTACGAAGTGCGCGGTAGCGAACCAGTGAAAGGATTTTCCTCAAGTCTCTAAACCTGACGGAACACCGAACTGATTATCGATAATAAACCTTATCGTTTCTATCGTCGACTTTCCCCAGCCGTGTTTGTCGGCGGCCGTCCGTCGGATAATGCATTGAGAAGCCATCGGGGTCGATGGCGATCGGACGTCCGACATTTTCGGGGAACGTTGAAATACATATTCGGATTTCTATTCCGATCGATCGTCAAAGTCTAATGAGAAACACACGCGATGTTTGAAGACCAAAAAAAAACGACGTCCTGGGATAATGGGGACGGGTGCAGCCACTGTTATAGGTAATTTAATGTATACCTGTAAGCGACGGTAAACCGTTGCTTACGAAAAGACAATTCTTAGCAGAGTTCAGTTAAAAGTGATACTTTGTCAAGCATATATAGGCCGTATTAAAGTAAAATAATTAAATAGGCTTTGTATATATTTTTTAATAATATTTGTGAAAAAATTATTAAAAAAATAACTTGAACATAAAACTGTAGAGCAACTTGTTTCTCAAATGTTCTAGAAAACAAATACTTGAAGAAGTTAAACTTTCCGAGATAATGAGTGTACCCACTTAAATGAATCACCCGGTATATTTTAAAACGACGTAATTATTTGTTTTGTTAAGTTTTAAACAGTTCCGAGCGCCGTTATTATTGCCTCGTTATTTGGCCGCGATTCAAAATATTAATAGTTTTTAACGCGCGGTGTCTGGACGCAATAATTTTAAATTTACAATACTAAAACCGGCGAACGGTTTCTGATCGAACTGCAGCAAAGTTTTTATCGACCCGTTCCGTTATACAACCGTTAACGTTTACAATCAAAAAGTCTCGATCGTTCGGAACAAAAAAAAATTCTTCCTGTTTTTATTTTTATCGTATTACAGTGCGTGCACACTACCTGTTTTTTCGCGCTCAAAACATTGTTTACGGGGTTTAACTCTGCCGCCTCGTAGGGACGTCCGATTTCGAGACGTATATTTATTTTGAAAATAACAGGACAACAAGGGCAATAAATATCAACAAAAAAAAAAAAACACAAAACAAAAATTAGTTTAAAAAAAATGGCAAAAATCGGTCACGTTCAAACTCTAGTTATATCGTATGCGGAATAATAGTTTTCGAAATCCGGATCCGATGCGCCCCGTGTCTTTCCAACAAAACCAAAAAAGAAATAATCAAAACAGAATTACTCTACGAGTCAAGAAAGTTTACCCTGTAAATAATATTTTCGGGCGAAAAAATATGTCGCGCGGGAGTCAACTTGAATAACGTTCGCAGAACGTTAACAGTATGATCGGCGATTCAAAGGTCTTGAAAATCGCCTTTTAGCGATAAACCCGCACTTACGTATGTTATAAAATTCGTGGACAACGGCATACGTATTGAACGGACACGCGTGTTGTACAACCCTTTAAAAAACTATTCGACTTATTGTAAAAAAAAATCCTTTTTTATATCGTTTTCTTTATTTATTATTATTAATAAAAACGGCGACAATTATTATCCGTCAAGTCGATTTCAAACGTTCTTTGGGCGTTTGTCCCGAGCGAACGCATTTCGGCGCGTTAACCGAAGGACGCGCATAGACGGCGGCGTCGGCGGCGAATTCCGCCGTGACGGGCCTCTTCTTGTGAGCTTCGAAAAATTAACGTTCGTTTTTTATACGTCGTAATAAAAAAAAAAAAACACCGCAAGAATCCGCTCGACGCACGCCCCCGCCCCTTAAAAACCGTCATTGCGCCCCCGCTAAGTGAAGTGTAAAAATTCGTTTTGTTGTTTTTTTTTTTTTTCACATCGAGTGTCTGTTGTCTACGTGAATACGAGGGCTTATAACGGTTTTCGGCGTCCGCGATGTGGCAACGTCGTGAAAGAAAAAAAATATGTCCGTTTTAAATCGTATTTCAAATATTATTTTATACGCGATGGGTATCTCGTTGAACTAAACAACGTGATGCACGTAAATATTTGTGCAAAAATTATTTTCGCGATACGGCGATACAATGGTGCGCGCAGGGGGGAAGGGAGGTTAGGGATTATAACCCCTTCCCCGCCCCCCACCCCCTCCGTTGGTCTGAAAATACAACAAGATACGATTGTTCAAATGTCGAATTATAAATTTCAGCCGATTTTTCGATGTAGGAAAATCTTGATGTATTGATAGGACATTTTTTTTTTTTTTTGAATCCGGCTTTGAAAATACCAAATCCCTTAGTCGAGTTGGGTAGAAAAGACGATTTTACTCTTTCTTCGTGATTTTTTATTTGTTACATACCCTCCCGTTGAAAATTCCAGCGCACGTCATTGCGGCGAGTCGAGAAACTTCCAATTTATTTTATTTTTTTTTTACTATTTTTAACGATTTCTATTGTTATAATATTATTGTTCGGCTGTTCGTTTGAAATGTACGTCGCGCTCAATCGGATCGTACTGCAGCGAAATAACAGGTCCGCGGTCATAATATCCTGTTTGCGATGTTTTTTTTATTATTATTGAAGATTTACACGGTGACGGCTCCGGGTTCTGTTCGACGAGCGTATTAATAATCATCTCGTACCCGGTTATTATAGATATTAATGAAAAAAAAAAATTTTTAAAAAACCCGTGACTTTTGATTTCAATAAATCAAATGACACGTACGCAACGATATTATAATATTGTGTTATTATTTATAACGCGCGTCGCGTATTTTATTTTCACTTTTACACGAATTCAACATGATTTATATCGAAAATAATTGTCTACGTGGTTTGTAACGAAATCGTAACCGGTTTCTATATATTATTATTATATTAGAATAACCTAACTGATAAATTTTGTCGCGGCAACACGAGTAACGCGTCTTTGCGAATTTTTCAATTGCGATTTTTTCATTTTTTTTTTTATTTTTTTCCCCTTCCTAATGCGTTCTAATGAGTCGGTTATTCGCTGACGACTCGGCTGCAATCGAAAAAACTCGGCGAACTAGCGGAGTTTCCTCGGCCGTCCGCCGCGTAACGTAAATAGTTTTGTCGACAGTATAACGCTCACTAATTCGAATCGGACCATTGAATTACACCGTATCTTACGCTCTCGGAAAACAAAACGCGACAATTCGACACTGTGTAGCGTTTAGATGTTACCCCGATTGCTTTTATTGGTTGGCTCCCGTGATTTTAACTTGCACCGGGGATATGCGGACGTCCGATATTGTCCGACGCGATCTAAATAATTTTCGGGTTTCCAAAAACAGACTCGCAAGTATTCGCGATTTTGTCAACGGGGGTCGGTGTCGAATTTGGAAGTCGTACATTTAGGTTAAAAAAAAATAAAAAAACAAAAAAAAGACGAAATAATATTTCGTGTTTTTGTGGGTAATTTTATAATTCGATCTGCCATAAAATTATACCGTTGAAATCAAATCAAACTGGGCGCGGGCGTTAGTAATTGTTTCGAGCCGATATAGGTAATTGGTTAGCGTAAATTATTTTCGCTTTACGACGGCAGTGCAGGACGGGTTTCGTTTTAAACGACAATGGCAGTACAACGACCGGATATTTTTTTCGCGTGTAATATTATTATTAACTAGGAATGCCGACACGTTTTTTGTGATTTTTTCGACGAAAAAGAAATGAAATAAAAAAAAAAATAACCTTATAAATAATAGATAACGGGGTTAGGGGCAAATGTCAAGGGGAACGATGTTATAATGTATCTCCCTAATGTGCCCCCATACGTGCACCGCTTCAAACGTCACGTCGTACTGTTGTTACAATAATGCGGAATAATAATGTGGAAATGTCCGCCCGTGAAATATTCGCCTAAAGTCTAAACGCACGCCAAACGAATTCACCTCGAGTCGTCTGCGGTACATGTTTTGCCTAAACAAAACGCCGGCCGATTTGTCGATTATTATCGCGTGTCGTAACCGAACGGATAACAATTATCGTTTTTTTTTTTTTTTTTTTTTTTTTTTTTTTAATCCGTTCCGCGGCCAATGCCGAAACGGCCGGCGTTTTTAACGCGCTCAATTTTATTAAGATTTTATTACGATTTGTTGTGTTTTATTATGACGTTTTATTTATCCTATTTGTTTTTTTTTTTTTTTTTTTATTACTATTATTATTATTATTACTGTGGTTCTCGTGAGTACGGTACGTGCGTCATGTGCGCGCGCTCGCGTTTATCACAACGCGGAATCAAAACGATATAACGGCGCAGCAGCAAACTCCGTAATGATGTCTCGCGTACAGTATACGGTTAAAATACGCGTTATTTTATACGCGCGGTGTAGCGCAATAATTTGTTTGTTTGTTTTTTTATTCGTTTGTTTGTTTTTAACGGGTCGTTTATTTGTTTTGTTTTTTCTACGGAGAAACAACATTCACGGTATATTTTTATTTTTTTATTTTTTTTTTATTTTTTCTTAACGCAATATTATAAAATATCGCGAAATCGCTGTACGTAAATTTCTGCGCGCGACCCGAGCGTTTTACGATTTTACCGCCATCCGTACGGTTTTCAATTGAACCCTATTGACGCGCGCGCGAGCGGAACAAATGATAAAAAAAAAATAAACACGTTAACGACGCAATTCGAAACTGTTGTACAACGGCCGCCGACCTATTGCGTTCAATTAACGGACACGATCGTATTACGATCTATTATGATTGATGGAAAATGATTTCGAATAACGACCGCACGTCGAGTGAATTATGCCGTGAAATATAAGACGGCCGGCTGTACATTATATTTTACTGCTCGTATATATTACTATTATGTCAAAAGACGCGGCCGTTTATGTTTTTTTTTTTTTTTTTTTTTTTTTTTCCAAGAGTAGCATATAGAACGTATTAATTTCATCAAGACGTGGGCTGATCGATGGATTCGCTTTTCTTTTTCTTTTTTTTTTCCAAGAGTAGCATATAGAACGTATTAATTTCATCAAGACGTGGGCTTTGTGCGCGCGCGTGTGTGCGTGTAAACTGTTCCGGATATCTTGTTCAAAAAGGGCTTTTTTCGTGTTAACGGATCCGGTTGACGCATTATTGATGTGATTACAGTTTTCGCGATTTTTCTAGTGCACGTTTTAACAACTTGACAACTAAAAAAGCGAGGAGGGGGAACGTAAGTATTACGGAAAATTTTACGGAAATAACGGCTTCGTTATTTTCGAATTCGTTTTTCCAAAAAAAAATAATCGCAGAGACCTTAAGTGTTTACAAAACACTAATATTATTGGTTTTGTCTAGACGTAGTAAAATTTTGGAAAATACTCTCACGATTTTCCTATACTGTTTTCAGGCATTTGACATTTTTGAGTTTTTTAATTTTTATTTTGAATTATTGATATTTCGACCGGACAGAAACGCTTGACGATTAAACAACACGGCGTTCAATATAAACTGAACTTGGTCATAAAAAGTGTACCGTATAATGTAATAGTTTTCACCTATAAACGTTTTTAGTTTAAATTTTGACGTAGATCGTATAACTAACGGCATTTCAAAATACGTTGGGCTGAAATTTTCTAAAGGGGTATATTTTCGGTATTTTTTTTTTTTTTGCTGATCCAGTTAAACATTTTCACAATACACTAATGCACTAATGCACGTAATATTAAACGCGATAAAATGTTTAAAACATTCTGACGGGTTTATTTTATTTTTGTCTTAATGCGAACAAAGTTGTTGAAATGCTTGAAAAGTTAACACGATACGACATTATCAGCGTTTCGAGTAGAATTTTGACGAAAATCGTGAAAATCACATATTACGTTTTATTACCGAATTTTACTCAGAATCGTTTTCCGTTACCAGAAATTGTGCTCCGATTTTCAACTATAGCACTTTTACTGAAAGGATAACTGACTGGGGCGGTGCTTTAAGAAGGTCGTTTTTTATTTTCCCAAGAGTTTTCATAATGAACGGGAAATACCGCCGAGAAAAAACGTAGGAAAACCGGGGATGATGTACGGAATGCATTATTTTCAGATCGTAAATATTACGGCCTTTCGTAACGTCGTGTATTGAACTCCGCTCAGATTCGGTTTTCGCTAGTAAAAATTGACGCGATGGTACACAGATATACATCGAATTCCCCTTTATATCCTATACCTATTCTCGACTTCTCGCCTCTACAAAAGTGGCCCACCCATCGTGCGAAGTACGTATCTTTTTTCATTATTATTATTATTACCGCGGAGTTTGTCCCCGTTGAATTTTTACGGGCGTTCAGTCTCGTTTTTCGTAAAAAAAAAAAAAAAAAAAACCAATATAATATTATAATAATGCGTACCTATTATATTATACGCGCGTATAATACTCGGTATGTTATAGCATAAGTACTCCGGTCTAAACTAAACGGACATAAACGTGTTGTTAAACGTGCGCGCAACTACATTTAATACGCGTTTATTATACACTGTGCGCAGGACGACCGTTTTTTTTATACATTTTTCGTATACGCACGAAAAATAAACGTCTAAAAAACACGGTTTTACGACGCTTGTAACGTTATTGCGCGGTCTCCGCGGGACGTCGCGCGTCTCGGCGATATTGGCCCGGTAAAAAGACACCGCGGACAATATTGTAATAATAATATTTTGTCGACCGTTTTTTTTTTTTTTTTTACATAACTTATTAAATACATTGTCGACAACGGCGGCGTTGGCGTCGGCGGCGCTCGATAATTTACGTTAATACGGATATTATTATTATTATTATTGAGGGGTAAAAAAAAAAAAAAAAAAAAAAACCGTGTAAATAATCGTAAAAAGCGACGGCGTCGGCGTTATTTCGGAGAAGAACGAAAAAACCGTAAAACGTTTGTTGTTTTTCGTTTCTTCCTTAATACCCGCCGCCGGCGGCGGTATTCACGAGTGGCGGGTTCGTGTCCCGATCAACCATGCGTCGTGTGTACCGTAATACGGCGATAACGGACGGCGGTGGTCTGCGGACGGGAACGCGAAAAGCGGCGAGAAAAACCTTACGGGATTCCGGTACTCCGGTCGTACGTTTTTGGGTATGCCGGTGTTGACGGGACGACGGGGACGGCCGCCAAACGCAGCGGCGAGAGATAAAAAAAAAAAAAAAAAAAAA